TTCAGATTCCTCTAATTAAGATCCATGTGACTCACGCCTTGCTGAGCCGCATTCCCAGTCAACATGGCAATTTTCATTACTATTATTTGAAAACAGCACATCTAACTTGCATTACGTGTTGAAATCACACCATGCTATATTTTGCATGGGTGTGCCGGTCGGTCGCTGCATATTGCGTCCTGTTTTTGTGAATAATAATGACGGAAAATCACAGCAGAGATTCCAGCTGCTTTTGTTGTTTTGAGACACATAATGGAGGGTGAGGGTCGGTCACACTTGACTGGTTGTTTTGGCTATAGGAGGGTGAAGAGGAGGCCCCGCAGCCCAAACCCTTGCGTGTGCGCCCAGAGGTCAAGCCCAAGCCCCGCACCCCTCCTGTCAACACCTCCACCTTACAAGATGAAGAGGATGAAGGAGATAAGATCATGGCTGAGCTACAGGTGAGCAAACCACAATCGCCTCACAGGAGCCACTCACACAAAGACATAAACATACGTGTTGAACATAACAACAACACAGGAAGTTGAGTCGTGTTAGAGGTGCTAAGAGACAAATATAGACCATACAAACATTAAAGGTTGCCCCACCAATGTCAACATTTACGCAAAAGCTTAAAAAGGAGGGCACTATGATGGTGTATTGGCTCTCTCAGAAGTTTGAATTGTGCTGCCCTCTATTGTTGATAATGGGTAAGATTTCCTATGAATCTGATGTCCATCACTTTATTTTAATGAGCAATAAAAATTAACACAGTGTAAAGACTATATATAGCAATAAAAACACAATGTAAGTACACTATATATATTCTGTTTGACATATTATAATTACACAAACGAAGGATGGACAAATCCACCAGACACGGCACCTAATACTCATAACCCTTACCCCTCCTCAGGTGTTTCAGAAGTGCACTATTAAAGATTTAAAGCCCAAATACATTGTCGATCTTACAACCCGTGAGCCCCCAGACAGAGACATGGAAGACATTTCCCTATCTTACCACACAAAGGTAACAGATGTGATGATTGCTAACTCCCCGTGGCAGTACTCACATGTGCAATTGTGTCCCATAACCTCCCGCTCTGCTGACACTAATACACAAAACCCATTCTGATATACTGACACACTGACGAACGTCAATGCCTGACCGTAGCCCCTCATCAAGAGAGGGTGTAATATGTTTGAATGTGTGTCTAACACTGGTCTGTCACTCACACTCTCCTGCTGAATGCTAATAGATACAGCTGTATAAGACTGTGTGGGTCAGAGTGACTGGGGCGGTGGAAAGGCCATTCTGAACACTCTGACTTCTGACCTTTTTTTAGCATTCAGAGTCCACTTTCAAAAAGGGCCAGAATAGCCATTCTAAAGAGATATAAAGATATAATATAAACAATATATATATGTAGATACCAAAAAATTGATTTTGTATTTGTGTTTAACTTTAGTTTTTAGAATAATTTTTGTCCTATAGGCCAACAGTGTCAGGGTTTTCAAAACAGGAGAAACATTTCTATGTTCTGGATGTCAGAGTGTCTATACAAAGACTAGATGCAAGTCACTTTCTCCACTAATATGTTTTGTTTAAAAAAATAAACAAATTCAAGCATGTATTTCTCAGCAACCTCTATCACCATCAAACATCTTTGCATGGAAAATGCTATGTATAACATTTCACTACTCCTTGTTTAGCCACAATAAAAACATTATTTTTAAGCAATGCTTGACAGCATAGTCTAGTTTGCAAACTATGGATGAGACTTAATGTTTATATTCTTTAGGAAAGCTAAACAACTCTAGATGGCGCCATTGATCTTTTTTTATGTTTCTCTCTGCATTGTACTGACTAGCTGGGCATGAATTTGAGGTCTGTCATAGTGTAATCCAATGACTCTGTACTAACCAAATGTCCTAGCAGACCACCACTCATCTATCTGAAGAAGGAGCACTGAGATCTGAAATTAGGGAGAACACTGCATCACCTGGTTCACCTGGGGTAAATATAATTTGTTTCACTGTTTGAATTAGTTTTATGTGATATTTAAGTGTGAGATATTGTGCTCACTCAGTCTTTAATGTGTTGTTTGAAGTCCAAAGAATTCTTGATTTCTTTGTCAGGTCGTGTATTATATCACCGGAACGTCAAAGACATCAAATGAGGGCACCTATAGGCCAGATGACCTAAAGGAGCCCAAGGAAGCAACATTTTCTACTTCAGAGGTTGCACCTGAGAATGCTTCAGACCTTTCCTTGCAGCAAAAATTGTTAACATCAGATGACTTACCTGTAATTTCACTTCAGTCAAGCCAATCAGTCAAGGAGGTCCAAAGCAAGCTAAACTATATTCATCAGGTGTCATCTGGTCCATATAACTCAAAAAACAGCCCTGTAGTTGGAAAAGAGCTCAAGACTGAATTGGTTCAGAAGTCCCTAAATCAGGTAGTTCCCACACCCTCTGAGAAGGTTTCACCTGTTGAGAAGTTAGAAAAGCAGATACTGTGTACATCCTCTGACCCAGTCGCACCTGTTCTGGAAAAATCAAAAAAGCATGGATATCGCGCAACCACGGTTGAAGTTACACTTGTTAGCAAAAGTCCTCAGAGTGCTGAACCTCAAAATCACTCACCAATCCATCAGCCAAAAACTAATGCCCCATGTTCAACACAGCTGAATGACTATGAGAATGGGCAGGAAGTGACAAAGAGAAGTCAGGTCACATACACTGAGGAGGCCAGTCTAAGTCCAGACCTCCCAGGAGAAGAAGGTCCTCCGCCACCAAATAACATTGCCTTTAGGATAACTAATAACAAGGTTCAGGCTCTGTCAAAAGGAGAGTACCAGCAGCTGGTGGACAGCAAGGGCACGGATGTCCAGACTCTTAAAGTGGGCTCAGAACCAAACCTATCTGACCCAAAGGACTCTGGATACAACAAGAAGCCGGTATTCATAATTTTTGATGAGCCGATGGATATCTGTCAGGCCTACAAGCGACTGTCCACCGTCTTTGAGTGTGAAGAAGAGCTGGAGAGGGTGCTGTCAGAGGAGAGGATCGATGAAGAGAATGAGGGCGAGGTGGAAGCAGAAGCCAACTCAGAGGTTGGTCAGGTTACACCTAAAAATAATATTCTAGATCAGTGCAGAACTGAGAACAGTGTGAACAGTCAGAGAAATAGTAGTGCTTCAGTCCCTCTACAACAGCAGAGTCCCTCTGCTCTTGATGTTGAGGAAGGAGACAAGACAGAATCTTCTAAAGATGTGAAAAAGAAATTCAAGTTTAGGTTCCCCAAGAAGCAGCTTGCAGCTATTGGCCAGGCCCTTCGTACAGGTACAAAAACTGGCAAAAATACACTGCAGGTCGTTGTCTACGAGGATGAAGAAGAACCAAATGGAACCGTGACTGTGCTTAAAGAAACTAAAAGGTTTGAGATCAAGTCCCACACAGACTCTGATTCTACCACCCGTAGGTCTTCATTACAAAACCAGACTGGCACATCACAGAGCACCAAAGACAGAACCAAGGAACTCCGTAAGACTACGTATGAAACGTTAGACAGCCTTGAGCAGACTATTAAGCAGCTAGAAAGTACCATAAGTGGCATTGGACCTACATTGGTTTCTGAAGTCTCCCGCAAAGAAGAATCAAAAGCAAAGAGAATTGCCAGGCATGCAGAACCAGAGGAAGGCACTCCCAAAAAAAGGCCGGCACCTCTAAAGCCCAAACCCCACAAGTCATCGCTGCAAAAGAGATCCAAAACACAGTCTCGATCCTCCTCGAGCACATCCACCTCCAGTTCCTCCAGCAGTAAACAGGTCTTTCTCAACTCCTCTTCACCCTTCTGCTGGTGGCTTGGGTTTGCTTTAAGAGCCTGACTTTCTAACCACCGACTTCATTCAACTGTAAATGTGTTTCATAGGTGTCTTCTGGTGAACTCACTTGGGAATACTCTGTTTTGCGGGCTCTGTGTGATTTAAGTGGACATGATTATGTACTTGATGTCCTTCTTTTACAAACCACTCTTGTCTACCTTCACTGTAAAGACTTTCATTGAGGTTGGACCCATGAACCGTTTCTGTCTGATCTTTGCCGACTTTCTCTGATCTATTGTGGGATTAAAATGTGCATGTACTATGGTTGGGAAATCAGTTGTACATTTGAGCATGCTGCCTGTATTTTTCTGTCCCCAATCATGTCTACAAATAAGAAATCTTTAAAAACTCTGTTCTGATGTGTAGTAGTCAGTTCGTATCTGACGTTGTTTCCTTGTCGATCTTTGCAGAACTCTGATGACTCTCCTGTTTCGAGTCGGATTTCATCGCCCAAGTCCCGCCAGCAGCCAGAGAGTGCTGAAAAACCCGGAAAGCCCCAAAAGCTCCAGGACTCCCAGAGGCAATTCCGACAGGTAGTTTTACTGTAGGGCAGCCAGTGTTAGGCATGAAGACACAGATGGGAAATGTGTTTGAGTAATTTTATTGTGGACACATGGATCCAATATGACTCTTCCCCTATACTTCATCACAACCAATTCCATTTGCATGGTTATCATTTAAACAGACACTTTTAAGATATGCTTCTCCTTTTTTTTTTACCAACCCATGCATTCCCTGGGAATCTAACCCATGGCTCTACAGGAAAACTGACTCTTTGTCATCTAAAAATTACCCATAAAAACAAACACAAAGGATCTTAGATTGTAATCCCATTGTGTTGTTTGGGGATTGATGGTTTATATTTCAATTTCTTTGGATTATGAAGACGTTTTAAAAACCTCTGGCCTCTTCGGTCTGGCCAAATTCATCCTTTCATTCCCTCTTTTCTCTCTTTATTGTTTAATGTGTGAATCAAACTGAGAGAAAAGAGACAAGATTACGCCTTTTGTTACAAGAGTAATATTTTTGTTGGTGTTGTAATGTAATGTAGAGTATTTTTAGGGAATATAGAGCTCTATATTTTCACGTATGTGTCATCATCCTACTTGACTTTCCATGTCTTCCGGCATCTTTGTTTGCAGGCTAACGGGAGTGCTATGAAAGCTGGTGGGAATAGTAAACATGCTTTCTTTGCTTTGCCTGCTTCTAAGATCCCAGTTTTTATACCTAGCTCATGGAAACATAGCTCAACCCATGCTCCTCGTTCAAATACGTCTAAGCTTACTAACCAAACCTCTTCCTCTTCTTCTAAGTCCTCAATCCCCTGTCTCAGTCTGAGCTGGCCCAGCTGTAGACCCGTCTCGCCCTCACAGTCTCCCGAGCCTTCTCAGTGTTCTGAAGGTCAAAACCTAACCCTCTCTCCGCAGACTCAAAATGGCCAGTCCTGCTCGTATTCTTACTCATCCTCATCCTCCTCTAGCTCGTACTCTTCCTCCTCCCCGGTCTCTCCACACTCTACTACTTCCTCTTCATCCCCTTCCTCTCCCACTGCCATGTGCCGGGGAAGTCGAGCTGTACACGTGTCGAGCTTCAGCAGCCGCAGGTCTCTGAAGGCCCGCAATGGCCAAGCCGCTATCACACCAGCATCCTTTACTGGGGACATGGCATGAGCTGACCATTTCTCTCTTTTGTTCTTTCTGTTTGCACTCATTCTGGTGGGATTTAAGGTGTTCTTCTGCAGGTCATGTACTTCTGTAACAAACAGAAACACTGATTTAGTTATGCCTGTTTGTTTGGGGTGATGTTATTGTCGTTGTGCACTTCCTCTGAAATCCAGAAGTAGTTCAGAATCTAGATCCACATATGGTTCTTCTGAATAACGAACTTTGTTTTTGGTTTATGTGAGGGATTAAACTTGACAGTGTTGGCTTTATATTTTATAGATGTGCATTTGTTTAATTACATGAACTATAAATAGAATACACTATAAAGTAAAATATACTTTGCTTTTTTAGGGAAAGGAAATTAGATGAATTCATTAACTAGCCATATATCCATATATATAGGTCCAGAAGTCTGAGAGCACTTTGATTATTTTTAAATTGTCAATTTTTGAGCCCGTTCTCATCCTTTGGCGTCATATAGGTGACGCCATATGACATTTCGTCGGAATACTATGCACATGGCACCCTTTAGCGTCAATATAACACTCAGAACCCAAGGCGTCATACAGGTGACTGGCATCCTTTAGTGTCAATATGAGACCTAAACCTACCCATAGGTTTTATATTGACACTAAAGGGTCGGCATTTTGAAAAAATGTCATGGCGTCACCTATATGACGGCAAAAGATGAGAACGACATTTCGTCGAAATACTACGCACATGGCACCCTTTAGCGTCAATATAACACGCAGAACCCAAGGCGTCATACAGGTGACCGGCATCCTAATTTTTATAACAAAAAAATAAGGAATCCTCATAATATAATTTTAAATGAAAAATGTTGTATTAAATATTAAAAATGCAAAACAGAAACAATTTCACTAGAAGTCTCAGACTTTTGGAGCCCAATGTATGTCTATAAGAATTGGTATAACAAGTCTGTGGAGATTGATTTGACAGTTTGAAAAGGGATTTAACCAAATGTTTGACTCTTTGCCCCAGTGGACTGCCAGTTTTAACTAACAATATGCAGTTTATAGTGTTTTGCCATAAAGTTTTGTTCATTTAAAGACTAAAACTAAGTGTATATAGCGTGAGTGGATGTTGTACAACCATTGTGGTGGTTCTGTAGCCCAGTTTTGTGGTTTACCATTATTGTACTCCTTTAAATAGCTCATGACAAATGCCAAAAATAACAGTGCTTTACATGCTGAAATGTTAAATATTAGATTAAAAAAACATTGGCTATGAATAATTTCCAAAGTTTACTCCTATGCATGCTTTTCAGACATGTAAACATGGATGATGCAAAGGTGAATGCTGTAAATATTACCTCTGATTTTGTAATACTGTATAAATTGTACAAAAAAATTGTTTGGAAGATGCTTGCCAGAGATGATTATCAAATAAAGGGCTTCCAGTGCATTGTCATTTCGTTTCACTTGAGGCTTTTTGTTCATGCTGTTCATGTTAAAGTGTTAGAAACTTTATTTGTCAATACAGAAAAATGGAAGGATTAGGAGCAGAATTCAAAGCAAGTGTAAAAACGTCTCTCTAGCAAACATAAACCAGTTTAACCTGTTTCAAGGCCTGATCAAACTATTTGAAAATACCAACGAAGGCACTTCGATTTCCCGTCACAACAATATTTTAGCTGCAGAGGGCAGCACCGATTTGCAGGACTTCTCAGTGAAGAGAGACATTGTAATCACCTAAAGCTCAAATGGATGGACCTTTCAAAATGAATTTTATTTATTTTGGGGGTGGTGTTACGTTTTCTTTTCTTTTGTAATTCTGTATTTTGTGATAATAATAATTTGAAAGCAACTGGCATCAATTTTGTAGATAAAGTACTCGTAGTATGTTTTTTTCTGTATATAATGACTCACTGTAACCAGACACTTTGGATGTGATATTGTCACGTGTTACCAGAGTTGCCCTTTAATGTTTCAGACCTTTAAGTAACGATTTAAGAAAGGCTATATTGAGATATCAGATAAACTGATGTGGGGATCTTAAACAAACGTCTTTAAAAATGGGTTTCAAAAGCCATTTTAGAACTATGCCTATGCCCTTTAGCAGTCATTTCATTATATGAGACGAGAAAGCAATTAATACCTGATTGATGTAAGAGTCATATCTATTATGTGGACAGCAAAACTCCTCGGAGACAAATGATTGGCACATCTATTAATTTGGACTTCTTTGTGCTTAGATATACATTACTTTTAATGCCAAGTTCAATTCAGTCTTCAAGAATTAATTTAGCATACCTGTTCAGACACATGGTGCAGATGATCATGAGCTGAGTTGACTGTTTTATTGTTGCCACCATGAAATTCACTCAAGGGCATTTGCAATGAATATTAAAAATGAAATTTTAATTTGTATAAATGAATTTTCCAAATTGATCAGTTTCTCCAAATGGTCATTGCCTAATTCGATATGAAAACACTGTCTGGACAAAGGAGTGCTGCGTTTTCATTCCAGGTCCTCCTCAAATTTGTAATTAGCCAGCTTTAATGAAAGATAATTAGTTCATATGCAAATTTTAGAATGACTGAATCCCCAAGCTTTGCACCATCTAATTAGCATGTAATTTGTATAGTATAATACATTTACCATTAAGAAGTGAGGAGACCAAATGCTACAATGCTACAGAGAGGAGGAGAACAAGAGTAATTAAAGCGCAAGTCCTTTTAGCATTTAAGATTAATTATTGTGTCTCCTGATGTTTTATGGTACAAGAGCATCAACATCATAAATCTTTGAGGACATTAACAAACCAACAAGGAACTTGTGTAAGTTAATCAAAGATCTGGTCACTAATTTGCATTTTTAATTCATCGCAATTAACGGGTGTCAATTGGATAGGAAATGAAGAAAGCTGCAATGGCAGTTAGCTTTATTTCTTTAATGCGCCTCTCGAAAAGGAAGCTTGTGTACATGCTTCTCAATCTTCTGCTAGAGCTTAATTTACTGCAACATAACCATATATTAAGCATTTAACCAATAGTTTTAAAAAAACATTTTGTCACCATAAAACCATGAATGTTGAGCTAAAAAATCTGAATTGAAGTTACAAAAGAGAAAAAAAAAAATATTTCACAACACTCAAAGGCTAAAGAAGCAATTCAATGGATTCATGATTCAATGGATTGTGATTGGATTCAACTCAATGGATTCAATTCAATGGATTGTACTAAATTTCATGAATGAAATTTAGTACAAGTTTGCAAAATAATATATAGTTGTATGCATTTCCCGATGCCAAAACAAAAGCATTCTGAAGACACTTCGGGTACAGGTATTGATCTATATTTCCACACTGGATGATCCCCAGCTCTGAGCCAACCACCTATTGTTTCCCCTGATGCATTTCTGGCACATGACCTTGGCTGGTTAGTTTTAATTTATCCCATTTTAGAGGGCATTACTGCCAACTCCTCTCCACAACCCAGCTCAGGAGCCAGGGGATCACCCCAGGCGAACTGTCTGACAGCACACAATTGCCTTCCACCGGTAAGTACTCTAACACTTCATTAGCATTTAATTGAATTTCGTCCATCAGGAATAATGCTTTTAAGAGAAGAATGCCTCAATGAGAACAGAGCACCCTGTGTACTCCCGAAAGCATCAGTCAGGAGAGATGATTGGATGCCTTTGTGTAAATATGTTTTGTGACCTGCTAAACCTTTTTTCTATTCTTTTTTCTTTAATATAGAATATCTGTGATTTAGGAAACTTTATTTTAAAATATAAAGTGTATATAGTATACTATTCAATGTTCAAGCAGGCTCCAGAAAAGAGTATAAGAATCAAAACAGATATATTGACAGACTCATTAGTTAAAAATCACAATCAAATTCTGATTTTATTCCAAAGCCATAAAAGGGGCAAACATGTAGGACAGTAAAAACAGCTTTGCCTTGATTTAAACAATCATTACAAATAACAGTAATTTATTTAGGTTCACTGTTACTTGTTTACGAAATTGGTAACAAATTATTTATTAATCAAGTAATAAAATACAAACATTGAAATATAACATAACTGTACACTAAAATTTAACAAGAAACCTTTAGCATCGATCCGGAGGAGGGCACCAGCAGTGAAATAATATTCATGTCCTAACAAGGACATCATTTGAATTTATATGTGAGATTGTTAAGGAGCAAAACGTACATCCATAATTCTTCACAAAAAAAGATGTCTTAACTAAATGCCATCAGAAATGAAGAGTTTCACAAAGTTTAATAACACAAATTCCAATTCATTGCGAGAAGTCTGGCATCACTGAAAGTAAACACTCAGTGAATCGCTCAAAAGTGATTGTTGTTTATTTGTCTATTAAATCTTGCTTCTATTTTAAAAGGATATGATTCATAATCCAAGTTTTGAGTCAACACCCCTGTCAATATAAGCTCAGCAGTATACACATCTGAAATAAAGAAAAGAAATCATTAGATTCTGCTTGATGACTGATGAACAGTCTTAAATCTATACACATACTATAGCATGTCAATTTCATACTACAGTGGTTTTATGTAAATACTAAGATGGGAACTGGACATGAAGGATATGCTCTCTTACCAATGTTCTTCAGGAAGAACTCTCGACACATATGCCAGTCATTTTCACAGGTTATCAGAATGATCTCCGGTAAGTTCTAGATCAAACATGGATGAATCCAGAGTGCAATAGTCAGTTACTATTTTACACATACAAACATCAACAGAACAACTTATTTTAAATAATCTCTTATATGCAGCATGCTTATTTATAGTTATATAGCAGGCCATAGTTATGAGACATGTCAAAAACTTTTGGTAACACTTTACAATACTAATAATGGCATTTAATGATTATTGTATATACTACTGTACTCAAGTTTGGGGTGGGTAAAATGTTTAAATGTTTCTGAAAGTCTCTTACACTCACAAAGGTGCATTTATTTGATCAAACATACAGTAAAATATTACAATTTAAAAGACTTTTCTCTTTAAATACATTTCAAACTTGTTTATTTCTTTGGTGGTAAAGCAACATTTTCAGCATCATTACTTCAGACTTTGGTGACATGATCCTAGGGCAGGACGATATGGCCAAAATTTATATCACGATATATTTCTTAATTTCAGTCGATACGATATAATTCCGATATCGATATGAAGAGTATAAAAGCCTAAAGAAAACTGCTAAGAAAGCCCACAATAAACGTCTATACCTACAAACTTCTGAAAGATTAATTTGCCATTATTGTCCAGCCCTACATGATCCTTCAGAAATCATTCTAATATGCTGATTTGATGCTCAAGAAACATTTATTATTGTCAATGTTGAATACAGTTGTGATTCTTAATGTGTTTGTGGGGAATTTCTTCAGGGTTCTTTTATAAATAGAAAGTTCAAAAGAACAGCATTTATTTATCTAAACCTTTTGTAACATGATAGATGTATTTACTGTTGCTTGCTTTCGAACAATTTAAATGCATTCTTG